AAGAATGTCAAAATGACATTAATATACCTGGAAGTGATATTTTGTTTAGACCAAAACTGTAAGGAATTCAGAGCCCTCACTAATAATACCAGTACTGAAAACATTATTTCACATTTTATATGGACACATATAATTGGGTGGTGGAATATGAACAAATATAGAACAAACAAAACTTGAAATCATCAAAAGTTTATGAAGACTTAGGATAGAAATAACAGTAGTGGACTAGAATGGGTTCATTTAAATCACATTAGACTAGCACTGATGAGGTTATCTAGTTTGGGTAATGAAACATCTGCAAGAAAGCAATGAAGCTCAGAGAACATCAAGGACCCTCATTTCAATTCTAAGCTACAGATATTCTTCTTGATTACAAAATTTACAGTTCAAGACTTGAGATCATATAAGGGAATAGGCTGGTAGTGATACTCAAGCAGGTAAGGTCTATTCAGATCAATGACTATCCAGTAAACAGTGGAGTTATGAATACCCTTAGTACAGATTCAGTGGTGGAAGACATTGAAGAACTTTCTGGAAAACTGCAAGTAGTGCTAAATGCCATGCCAGAGAAGAAGAAAATAATAAAGCTAATGTTTGATTGGATTACAAAAAACTGGAATGGAAAAACTGAGAATCATGGAATTATAGAAAGATTTCAATTGTTTAAATGCAATAAGGCAAGAAATAGCTTTACAGAGTTTGTGAAAATAATTACTTTGGTAATATTTTAAAACATCTGCTTCAAGTACCCTAAATATAATTTTATACTTGTACATTACTGAATGGAAATTAAGTTCAACTATTCTAAAAAAATAAAAAACAGAAGATGACGAAATACAATCCAATTAACCTAGACATTTCCAGTTATAGATTGTGGAAAAGACTATGAATTTCTGTTGTCAAATACATAACTTAGAATATTAAAGAGAGTGGGTGTGCCAACAAGATTTGACTTGAAGGACATATGTTCACAATAAAATCAGTATGTTTTAACTTACTCAAAAAAGAATCCTAAAGGAAGAAAAAAGTCACATAACTGAAAGCTGAAAACTGAAGCAAAAAAAAAAAAAATATCAGCATTTCTAAAAGGAAAAATGTAACTCACTTTCAGAACAAACTGTCACAACTTATGTGGGATAGAGAATAAAAGCCTTGAGCAACAAGAAGGATGTTCAATATCCGACAAGAAAAGACAAGGCAATATACAGTATCTTGGTCAAGAATGTCAACGAATAGAGGAAAGTAACAGGAAAATAAAAAAGAGATGTCTTTAAGAAGTGAAGTTCTCAGGGCTAAACAAGAATAATCAAGGAAGAATAAAAATCATTCATTTATATACCTGTTTGAATGTTGTCTTATCCAAAGATTCTTGGCAGCTTACATCTCATAAACATTATAAAACATACAATAAAATAAAGCAACTACAATCCATATATCATATCAACTACTGCAAAAACAATTGTTTCTAGTTAGGTAGTATCCTCTGGTGCTATTGCTGTGAAAGCTGACAGAATGAGAAAGAGTGGGAGCAAAGATAGAGGACTGAGAGTACCAAAATACTGCAAGTAAAAACAATCAAGAGGCCTGGTGGTGATTGCTTGCCTGAAAAGATGATGAGCAAGCAAAAACTTAGCATACGCCAGATAGAAAAAACAACAATGATTGGCAAGATTGAGAAACATAAAACATATACAGTGGATGGCTAATAGGATCCCTTAGTAGACTGGAATGTTGGAAAATTTGTGGATTATCACCAGAGGCAGGTCAAAATGGTTGGCATTTGTCCACACAGCTGCCCTAAGTATGGCACCTAAGTATGGTATGCATCAAGATAATGCAGCATTATCAGTGTGTTTTTTGAATTAAATGTCAAGGCTTTGATACAGATTTGTGTTTAAATTTTAGTTGCTTAAAATCTATAATGTGCAGACAAAACTGGGAACATTGTAATTCAATCAATATCAAGTGTCTGTAAATTACATTGATTCAATGCATGTGCTCTTTCCCTACCACAGATTGAATAAGAAGTCAATTTAAATAGTGTATGTGTCATGGTTCTGATAGACTAAAGCAGAACTCTGAGGCTTGAGTTTTTCTTTAAGAACACATTTATTGGCTACAAAGTATCAGCACAGTCAAAAGTGAAACCAAGACTAAAGTTCCCTCCAAAAAGTTATAGTATTACAAAGTTAAACTTCCCACCCCAGTACTATGCAATCAACTACGTTCCCCAATAGAATAATTTGGTGGGCTTTCTAACATTAGGCTCAGCCCCTCAATCTAATGAACAGAAATGACCTTGGTTTCCACAGGACAGAGAATTTTTTAGGCTAGCACAAAAATGCCACCACCTTCCTTCCAGTCTAGTGGCAAAACCGAAAACAAGCCAAAATGGCTTCATTCAGGTTTGTTGCAGAGTTGAGAGTATGTGTTTTGCATCTGAAATTGTTTTGTGGATCCAGTTTATTTTTGGTGTGCACATTATTCTCCTCCATAAAAAACACATTGGCTTCATAAACATCTTAGACCAAAATCAGGCATGCCACATAATAGCTTCATATAATATATTAAACCAATCATATGCTTGCAGTTATTCTAATCCACAGAATTGTGCTTCCAGATAGAGAACAATTATTAATTTTTTCAGCCAGAATCTATAGCTCTAAAACAATATGTATCCTCTCTCTATCCACCCAATGAATAAATAAAAATTGCATTGGATGGAAAAGATTTAATATAAAGTTATAGTGTATATGCACATTCAGGAAATAAAAACAAAAACCATAGAGATTGGTTGGGATATAGCTCGCATGATAATGGTACTTGTGAAAAGGTCTTAGAATGGCAATTGTTTCCAAAAGTATTGTGGATCATCGATGTGAGGATGCAACAAAGGCAAATATGATTTTTATCTTCATCAGCAGAAGTAGAATTTCCATATAATAGAAAGTATATTTTATATAGTACGATTAGCCTCCTCAGTATTGTTCTGGGTATTAACTTTAAGAAATTGATTCAGAGAAATTGAAACAAGTTCAAAAGACAATGAGAATTAAGTGTTATATAGAATAAGAAACCAGACATTTTTAACCATAGGAAAAGAAAATGGGGGATATGATGGTGCTATTCAAATATTCAGAAGGGATGTCAAGACCTATATCTATTGTTTTAAGTGGGGAACATAGAATAATAGGTTAAGTTACAGGAAAGCAAATTTCAATTAAATGTTATGACAAAATCTCTACAGAGTAAGAACAATTCAGTGGACTGTCCTCCTTTCATTGGATATGTTCAAAGCTAATTAACTGTCTCTTAGGAATGCTTTAATATGAAGGTTTTCAATGAACAAAGTATTGGACCTGACCTAAATGTTTTTTTCCAATTTTATTATTCTAATTCAGCCATAACTCTGCTTAATATATAACATAGATAAAACCCTATGACTTACATAGATATACACATAAGCTTGCTATCATTTTTCATGGAAAAATAGAAAATACTATTGCTCATTCACATAGACCTTGCTTTGTTTGAATAAGTACTGGTTTTACTACTCATAAATGGAATAATAAATAGCACAATAATTAACAGTGTAAATTAAGACATTAGAAACTCTTCTTGGCTCAACTTTACCATAAATTAACTGGTTGTAAGTAAACTTTCATTCTCCTATCACTCTCCTATTTGTAGTACTGAGAAAAAATATCGAATAGTAAGATTGTGTTACTGTGAATTTTAGAGGGCTGCAGACCATGAATTCACTTTGTCATATGCAACCATACCCCAGTGTGTTATAAATAGTAGTCAGACAACAAACGCAGAGGATATTTTTAGTGGCATTTATTTTTATATTCACAGATTACAAAATAAGAGATCTTTTGTGAGACAGGGAAGAAATCAAGATTTATCCTTTAATCATCAGATCCTATGGAAATTGAATTTAATGACAGAATGAACTAAAAGCTAATGCTGTCTCTAATGGATTTCAAAGGACAAATAATCCAAATAGGCAATGATTTATGTGAACACATACTAGATCTAAAAGAGCATTTCCTATCATGAACTGTGAACCTAATTTTTAAAAGCAAGTTAAGTATAAATCAATTATATATCTAACTAGCAGCTACAGTAGGGTGCAGAAGTAGCAGGAAGTGAACATTAAGGTTTTGATTTTGCATTTTAATATAAATTTAGCTGAGTTACATTACACAGTTTTATTTTCTAGCCAAAAATGCAGTATCACAAATGAGTCCATCTAGAATGGAAAATTTAGACTTTAAGATATTGTGCATACCCAGTACTTAAAAACAGTATGAGTAATAGAAGAGATCAATCTGGCAGAGAGTATCTCATTTAAAGAGTCATTTAGGATTTACCCCCAGATGCATCTTGCAGATATTCTGTTTGCTTAAACTGTGCTTAATTTTTAAATTTCCCATTCTAACACAATTTTACTGTGTAATTATTAACTGCTCTTGTAAGCAAGCAGACCCAGAGGATTCTGCTTTCCTACCAGTTGAAATTGCAAAGCCTGCGAAACTGATTATGAATTATACCAAATCAAAGATTTGCTATTTATTATCCTATCTTTAAAGCAGCTGAAAAAGCTAACTAGGGTATGTTTCTTTTAATGACCACTTTAGAGGTGTAAAATTCTCAAAATAAAGTTGCTTTCTTGTAGATTAGATACTGCTACTGATACAATTAGGGACTGCAACAGTTCATCAAAATGGGGCATTATTTGTTGCAATTTCTTAAATTTCCTTCTAACCCAGAGCTAATGTATACACAAGATACATTAAAAAAAAAACCAAAGCCAAGCAAAATTCCTTTCTAAAGGGCTCAAGTAGTCCATGCACAGTTTAAACAATTTACTTCTATGGCTATTGTCAGTTTCAGGGGAAATTTAAAGAAAACCATTATTATAGCCCAGAATGATGTGAAAACACCATTCTCTCTCCTCTCTCCCCTTTCCCTCTCCCACACTTAGCAATACTCACATTCATCTTCTATATAAAAAAGTCCTTCTCTTTCAAGCCATTTTGTAAAGAATTCCAGTCATTTCAGTAGAATAAATAGAGTCCTGTTCTCCGTAGGGCTGCTTAGAGTATTGTTCATCGTCTCATTCCTTTTGATAACCATTCCTTTAGGATACGGAAGTTGAGTTCAAAAATAGACTCCCATTCACTTGGCATCAAACCTGCAGACTAGGCAGCTGTCAGACTCCCACTGAACCCAACCTTGTGCCAATAGATTTCAATGCAATCTTTTCTTGGAATGATGAGCTGGTTCATTACATTGCCTGAACTTGCCTTAACCCTCCAGATGGATGGTGATCTTTCCACAGCGTTAAAAGAATATAAGCCGATCTGTCCTAAAGCCTTCTCTTTCTCATTCATTAGCCTTGCAAGACAAACCCTGAGTTTCTTTTGAATTATTCATGATTTCTTCCTCTCACTATTTCTATACTCTATGCTTCAAACTATTTGATGTGGCATAACTTTTGCATTACAGCTTTTATAAAAATTAAAAATCTGTGGCATGGGTTCAAAGGCAGTGGAATGTATGTGCATTTTTAAATTGCATAAATGGGTTTATACTCAAGTATATGTATGTTTCATATTGTGGTATATGAGAAATGTAGGCCACTTATGCATCCTTATGTAGCAATAATCATCACCAGGAAAAGAAAGATTTATTTTTGAGTAAACATTCCTAGGACTGGGATGTCAGAATAATAAACTTTATTTTAAGAAAAAAATGCTAAATCTTAAAACAAACTAAAAAAAACCCCAACAAAATGATCTCACAAAATCTCCACCTATCAACAACAAAAGGGACCAATCCATAATATTTCAAAGAAACATAACATGAAGCTTCAGAGGATTTTACTTTCTGTATTAGTATTAATATAATACACACAATCAATTACATTAGCTATTTTCTTCCATCCAAAAGGACAATGATAGCAAAAATGCATATATAACTTTACATAAGTTTGCTCGTTCTTGAAATACATGAAATGCAGATGTAATATGGTTTATCCCCACCTTCCATAGTATATTTATACAGTCTACCTGTGGTAGGATATTGCTACTAGGAGAGATGTTCTACAAAAAAAGCCAAATATTCCTGAAAATCTAGAAAAACATTAGCAAAAATATACTTGCTCAGCTAACCAGTAGCTATTGAAAAACCTCTTTTATGTGTGGATTTGTATACAATCTCTCATTCTGCATGATAGCCTGGAATACAGGTAGATAACAAGAAATCCAAAATATCACCAGTGAATGTACACATCACCATGATGTGTACATTCATTCCAAAGTTTTAAGAGAAAAGATTCTGTATGCAAGATAGAAAACAAGATTGAAAGAAAAAAAAAGCCAGTGGCAATTAAATGCATATACTTTATGGTATTATTATTTGAGGTGAAATATACTATAGGATACATGTTTCTTATTATTGGTACATGGTATTATTATTTGAGGTGAAAATATGGTATTATTTGAGGTGAAATATACTATAGGATACATGTTTCTTAGGGTCCTTTAAAACTACTCTGTAGACATTTAACCTGGAAAAATATTGTGGGAGCATGGAAATAAGTGGAACACATGTTTCCAAGTGTGCAGAATTTTTAATGCAGATGTTGGACAACTTGCAGCCCAAGGACTGCAAACAACCTCAATAGCAATAGCACTTAGACTTCTATACCACTTCACAGTGCTTTACAGCCCTCTCTAAGTGGTTTATAGAGTCATCCTATTGCCCCCAATAATCTGGGTCCTCATTTTACTGACCTCAGAAGGATGGAAGGCTGAGTCAGCCTTGAGCTGGTGAAGATCAAACTGCTGAATTGCAGTCAGCCAGCAGTCAGCAGAATTAGCCTGCAGTACTGCATGTTAACCACTGTGCCACCACGGCTCAAGTTCCCTTTTCTGTGGTTTTTGGAATTCTCTCACCATGACTGAAAAAAAATGACAGATAATCCCTTGCCATTTTAGCTAAGAAACATGAAAACTGTAATCTAAGAGTAGATGACAATAAAATAACAAAATAAAGTTTAAGGCAAAGTTAAAATACAATTATAAAACAACCTTGCTAACATCTACAAGTAAGGTCCAGGATGTATTCTGTAAAGAATAAATTGTATTAAATATGCAATGATAATATCTAAAATGTAAATAAATTATAGTTACATAGAATGCATTATGAAATATTGGCCTATCAATGTCTGACAGATCTTCTGTGCTGCTGCACAAAATCTAGCTAACATGTACTATAATGAAAAGTAATTCATCTATGAATAGTATGTGGGAATAGGCTGAATCTGGGCAACCAGGTATCTATAGTAGTGGCCAAAATTGTGGAAACCTTTTGGGAAAAGTGTACAGTAGAAATGCCACCTTTGGTTAAGTTTCCACCAATTTTTCTTCTAATTTCTTTATAACTTGTTCACTTAATAATACTATTTTACATTGCGTTCTGGGCAACCAGTCAACACTTTGCACCATTACTTTAATTTTATTACGTTTTACAAGCTCACTAAATGAAAGAGCACAAAAAATCCCAACCAACTCGATAGTAATCACATAACACACTGACAAATGTCCTCCTCTCAGCTTCAATACATGACATCAATAACTGAATCCTACTGTGATTTGATTGGCTCATTATCAAAATAAGATGACACCTGATTGGCTCTCTAAACACTCGTGTTCATTGGCTACAATCAGATGAAGGAAAGTTACCTGATATCAACCTAAGCAAGTTATGCTTCCTTTTTCTGGTTATTTGGCTATAACTTTTCATAGAATACAGTACAGATAATTGAACAAACTTTGTTACATTACATTCTTGATTAAATTATCTTTCCATTGATGTATAATTTTATGGTACTACTCCAAAAAAAGTGGTGTTATTAACCATCAAACCTCAAAAATACACTTTTCCCAAAAGGTTTCCACAATTTTGGCCACTACTGTACTAATCAGAGGTATGGATCTGGTGCAGATGTTTCCTCCAAAGAAGCAATGGTGAAGAACGTGTTCTATAGTTTCCACCTCCAAAATTATATGGGCAAAAAGTTACCTTCTATATTTACCATTGAATACTGCAGGGAGAGCATGGAATCAGAAAAAAGAGAAAACTTTCAGATGCCTGGGTGTTTCTAGTTATGTATGGTAGCTGGTAGCAGTGATAATATATATGTTGTGCACAGGTGACAGGAAGGCTAGAGCCTTCCCTTGATATGCTGTCCACTCTGCATTCTTTATTCTTTGCTTCAGAGCTTGCTTTGTCTGATCATATTCCATCTTAAGAACTGAAGAGGGAAAGTAGCCTAGATTTAAAAGATTAGATTCAACAGCCTTGATCTAAAGGTTGAATCAAGGCAATTGGACCAATCTTTGTTAATCTGAGACATTTTGTTGCTCATCCAAGCAGCGTCATCAGTCAGAGCAAAATTACAATTCTTTGACTCCTTGCCTAACTAATTTTGCTCTGATTGATGAAGGTGCTTGGATGAGCATTGAAATGTGTCAGATTAACAAAGATTGGTCTAGTTGCCATGATACAACTTTTAGACGCCTTTGGCCTTGATGTTTTAATCTTCATTGACAATAGCCTTGATCCTTATAGATTGAAAATTATTCTGAAGAATTAATGGTGCTAGGTTTTAAGGATAGAAATTAAGCTTTAACTAAAGTTTTATAGAAGCTAGACACACTCTTGACTCAACTTTTATCATACTTGTCTCAAGTCACAGATGAGTGTTTATATCTGGTCTATCCCAAGAATGACATAAAACACCCAGCAAGTTCAGTTCTTTGGTTGCTCACACCATATAGACAGAATCTTGCCAGACTAAAGCTATCCTACTCTAACCTAATGGATATAACTGGGAGATTTTAGGAGAATCTCCCAATCTATCCTAATTTTCTTCCTCTTCACGCAATCCAATTCCAGACTGTGCTGTGTCTTGTCTCACTCCCTCCTTAGAATGAGTTTCCTCCTTTCTGGGAACGTGATGCATTACTTTAGTCTGTCATATCACTGCCACTTCATAGAAACATTCCATCACAATTTGAGACATAGTAAGGTATCTGGAGATCTCCTTTCCCAATATCTCTATGATATTTTGGAAGACCTTTGAATATCAAGTATTAAGCTCTGCCTAAGATTGTAACTTATTGCATATACTGTATTTATAAGTCTCAATATGATCAAAGCCCATCCTTGTCAGAATGAGCTTACAGCCTTCCTGTAGATCCTCCTGCTCACCTCATGATGACCTGCAGAATAGCCAGGCATGTATAGATATTGGGTTGTCTTTTCCCATACCCTCTTCTTTTTCATATCTTAAACCCATGAACTCTTCTACATTGAGATTTGGAGCCACAATAGAAACAAAAGTATGGTAGCCAGAACTAATTTAATTTTATACCAAATTGTATGCCAAACTGCTTTAAAAGTTTCTTGAAATATTTTTACTTTTTTTTAGCAACCAGTAATCAATATTAATGAGAATGACATGACTGAGTCAGTTTTAGAGTCAGTTTTTGTTTTGACATAAAATGGAAGGGAGTTTTCTTCATTTGATAAAAATATTAGAGATTGGATTTATACAGTGAAAGCAATACAGTAAGATTTTGGATTTACGTTCTGACATTTGGCCTAGCCAGTCATCATAAAACAAAATTACCTTGTCTAAGGAATTCCTTGAAACCACCCACACGAGAATCTTTTTAACCTATATTTCCTAGAGAATAGAAATAATCACCATGGCAACCACATCTGCATTCTAAAGCTTGACATGTCTCTAACGGGCTATAAGTTGTTTATTTATGGATGGCACTTATTAATTTAAAACAAAATCTAACAGCTTACCTACAGGAGGCTAATGCCTCATCCAATCCCTGCTGCTCAGCTTATCACTAGACTGAGATGTTGGCCATGTTTTTTTTTTTTTGAATTGCTAAATAACATTTCATCAGCAGGGAGTACTTTTGAATAAAATAACAGTGTACAATTACAGCATCTTTTATTATCAATTACTGTATATTAGGCTTCTGTCCTTGAGGTAGACTTATTGCAGGGGTTTTTTTTTTGCACTTTTGTAACATCAGGGTTTTTTTTTTTAAATCCTATATAAT